TAGACGAAAGTGAAAAAATTGCGCAAAGAGATTATTTGGTTATTCACTAGGATTGAAAAATAAAAAGTTTTATAGAAGTTGTTGGTTTGACTGTACACGAAACAATTCGTGTTATACACTTGTCGTAAGCTTGTCGAATGCGGCAAACTTGCACCGCCTAAATTGGCACTATACTAATATCATCTAACTTGGCAACTACTATATTTCACTGCTTGTTCAACCGGTGTCAGGTGGCTACTTCTTGCTCTGTTGGCTGCCTGGTACAATGCTCATGTTCCACTCCAGCCCTGGTCTCACCTTGAGGCTGAAACAAAGGTATTAAAACATCAGTGCACGATAATTGCTATGCTTAGTGCTTTTCTATTGAATGTGCATAACTGCTCTTCTTGTTACAAGGCAAGCTCATGATCAAGATAAATGACATACTGCGTTATGATCGGATTTCTAGAGCTTGCAAGCTATAAGCTATCTTGCCCACTAGGGATTACCTGTTTACCCCAGCAAGGAAATAGTGCTCTTTTAACATATAATAAATCGATACTTTTTTGACCAATCTTGTTGTCAAGATGGCTGGATGTTACCCTCCTATTTTCTTATCACCCTTTACTACCTTTCGGTCCATAAACACGCGAATAAAATTCACTTCAACGATATCCAGCGCTCTTGGCCGAACAAGCTTGGTCACTAGCACTACAATCTTGCCCATACAGAAACTAAAACAACTTGGGTCGGTTACACGATAACAAACGAATGTCTTAAGGGAATGCCTGTTTAGCAAAGTTTATTAAGACCTGTGTGAACTCAAAACATTACTCACCATCGAAAGTCTGACATTCAACTCTTTTATCTCCAACAGTTTTTCCATGTTTTCGTTTGATAATGTAAACTTATCACCTTTCATGCTCGATGTAATACAACTTGGCAAGGTGATCGAAATATTTTCCCCTAATTTCATCTCATCGATCTTTTTTCGCTCAATCTGAAAAATAACGAGCAAGGTCGTTACAAAAAATCAAGAGTGCGTCCGATCCATGAGAAAACCAGGCAGAACCAGGCAGAACCAGGCAGAACCAGGCAGGAGGTGATACAGCTCAAATCACCAATTTCGCTCAAACTTGGCACTAATGCTGGGTTTGGTAAGTAAATGATTATGGCAAAAAACTAAGGTTAAAAGATTTAATTCCCTTCAAGTTAGGGGGACCCCCTCCAAAAATGGCCGTTTGTCACTAATTTATGTATATTAAATTCGCTGTCTTTGGTTTAGCATTTCGAAAGCAAGAAAGGCCATGTGAAAATGAAATCGACTTGATCGTGTTGTACAATTATCAGTCTCAAAGCACAGATATTCATTTGAACTAGACAATTTTACAACTTATGTTTTTAGGTGCAAAATAGAATGAAACAATATGAAACAATAACTACTACTTATTTTTTCTCAACTCGTGAGGGGGCACAATTCAACAAATCCTGCAATTTGATTGGTTCCGGGAGCGGGCGGAATTTTCCAATCCGGCCCGCCATCCATCGTGTTGATCTATTTTCCTGAACGAATTAGCGTTAATCGTCAATCTTTTGCCCCTTTTAGACTTCCGCATCGACGATTAATCAACGCAAGTTTATCTCTGTTCACATTTAAGGCGGGGGCACACATGAATTTAAGTGAAATTTTAGGAAGTTTAAAGAGGGATTAAAAGGATAAAAAGGGGTTTGGAACACCACCAGACAGTTGATTGCCCCCA